CGTACTATGTTTGTACTTAAAAGTTGCGATTTTCCAGCCGGAGCTGCGGGAGCACGCTCCGCATACTACGTCTGTACTTAAAAGTTGCGATATGCCAGCCGGAGCTGCAGGAGCACGCTCCGCGTACTACGTCTGTACTTAAAAGTTGCGATGTGCCAGCCGGAGCTGCAGGAGCACGCTCCGCGTACTACGTTTGTACTTAAAAGCTGCGATTTTCAAGCCGGAGCTGCCGCGGACCAGGGGGGAATCGAACCCGAGACCGCGGGATTGCGAAAGCAGGCGCGCAAACCACGAGACAACTTCCAAAGGCCGTTTCGCGAGCAAGAAAATCGCACGGTCTTCTCGATTCTGAGTTCTTTCTTCTTTTTCCGGCGGAGCTGAGGAGACGCTCTCCGCGCCGAGATAGGTCCGCAAGTGCTTTGTGCAAGTGCTCTGTGCAAGTTGCTCTGCGCAAGTTGCTCTACGCAAGTTGCTCTGAGCAAGTGCTGCCGGAGCTGTGGGAATGTACTTCGCGTACTATTTTTTTATACTTAAAAGTTGTGATTTTCCAGCCGGAGCTGCGGGAGTGTGCTCCGCGTACTACGTTTGTACTTAAAAGTTGCGATTTTCCAGCCGGAGCTGCGGGAATGTGCTCCGCGTACTATGTCGCTCCGCATACTACGTCTGTACTTAAAAGTTGCGATTTGCCAGCCGGAGCTGCAGGAGCACGCTCCGCGTACTACGTCTGTACTTAAAGTTGCGATTTGCCAGCCGGAGCTGCAGGAGCACGCTCCGCGTACTACGTTTGTACTTAAAAGATGCGATTTTCAAGCCGGAGTGCAGGAGCACGCTCCGCGTACTACGTTTGTACTTAAAAGCTGCGATTTTCAAGCGGGACTGCCGCGGACCAGGGGGGAATCGAAAACTTCAAAAGGCCAGATGAGTGCGAAGGAAGCAGGGCGCACACACGTGACAACTTCCAAAAGCCGTTTTCGGAGGCATAGAAAATCGCACGGGCCCGCCAGCAGAGATGTGCGCTTCGACACGCACGATCCTCCGCAAGAGGGTTCATCGGGCTCAAGACAAAATTCGCTCGGCGCCAGCGAGGACGCTTCGACACGCATGATTCTCGCAGAGGGTTCGCCAAGGTCAAAGACTAATTTCGCACGGCGCCACAGCGAGAGCGCTTCGACACGCACGATCTCCGCCGAATAGGGTTCGCAAGGTCAAGACAAATTCGCACGGCGCCACAGCGAGAGCGCTTTCGCCACGCACGATCTCGCAGAGGGTTCGCCAAGGTCAAGACAAATTCGCACGGCGCCACAGCGAGAGCGCTTCGACACGCAGGATCTCCGCAGAGGGTTCGCCAAGGTCAAGACAAATTCGCACGGCGCCACAGCGAGAGCGCTACGCACGATCTCCGCAGAGGGTTCGCCAAGGTCAAGACAAATTCGCACGGCGCCACAGCGAGAGCGCTTCGACACGCACGATCTCCGCAGAGGGTTCGCCAAGGTCAAGACAAATTCGCACGGCGCCACAGCGAGAGCGCTTCGACACGAACGATCTCCGCAGAGGGTTCGCCAAGGTCAAGACAAATTCGCACGGCGCCACAGCGAGAGCGCTTCGACACGCACGATCTCCGCAGAGGGGTGCGGTTCGTAAGCTCCCGTCGGGCCTACCCCCGCCATAAAAAGAAGAAGAATTAAGAGTCGAGATGTGAAGGTAGAACAGAAAAGTTAGCTTGTGTTTTTAGGATAGTGAAGTAACACCCGACAAATTAGCTTGTGCTTTTAGTAGAATGAGATAACAGCCGAAAAGTTGACATGAGAAGTTGGCAGGTGATGTAACTCTCAAAAAGTTGACATGAGAAGTAGGCAGGTGAAGTAACTCTCGACAAGTTGGCATGAGAAGTTGGCAGGTGAAGTAACTCTCGACAAGTTGGCATGAGAAGTTGGCAGGTGAAGTAACTCTCGACAAGTTGGCATGAGAAGTTGGCAGGTGAAGTAACTCTCGACAAGTTGGCATGAGAAGTTGGCAGGTGAAGTAACTCTCGACAAGTTGGCATGAGAAGTTGGCAGGTGAAGTAACTCTCGACAAGTTGGCATGAGAAGTTGGCAGGTGAAGTAACTCTCGACAAGTTGGCATGAGAAGTTGGCAGGTGAAGTAACTCTCGACAAGTTGGCATGAGAAGTTGGCAGGTGAAGTTGGCAGCCGCTTTTAGAAGAAGAACCCTTCGCAATGCTTCCGGGAAAAAAGGTGGTTGTCCTTCCGCGGGAAATACATATGATATAGGAGCCTGGTGGGTACCAGGGTAGCGCAGGCTGCATTGCGAGCAGCACCGCGGCTTTTGGCTGGCCGCGTGGCGCTCAGCCGGCACGGGACAACTTGTGGCCATGGCGGGTCCAGGGGAATCGGTTTTCAAACCTACCTCTGCGTTCCACCCTCGAACTAAGTCTCACTTCCTGAGTTCATGAACTTTAAACTTTTTGGGAAGATCATTTTCGTGGTAAATATGAAGTTTGGACTCTTTTTGGGCCATCCACTCAGCCAGTGAGAAGTAGGCCTTGGACCATGCGATGAAGAATTTGGGCCCTGGAAGTGGCTGATTCTGGTCGGAAAGCTCTCGCGTGAGGCGTCGCCGTACTCTGAGCAGCTCGCGCGGCTGCTTTCCCAATTCGGTGCGCACGCCAGTTCAGCGCTGTGGCCCTTGGACTAGCCAGCTACATGGCTTTTGGATGTTGAACTAGCTAGCTCGGTGAGCACTCGGTTCCTGGAGGGGCGCGATGTTTGATAGCAACCGTGTGCCCAAACACATCCAAACACGAACGGAGCTCTGAACGTGTGAGATTTCAGACTGACCACGGTTGGGACCAAGGACATGCCCTGCTCTCTTGGAGCAGCATGTGGCGTTTTTGTTTGCAGAGAGTGCTTTGCCGTCAGCTCGTGTTACTTTTGTGCCGAAGCCCAGACTGCCTAGTTCAAGAACACAGGCCTACACGCGCCGAGATCCGCATAGCGCGCTCTCGCACCAGCACTTTCACACGCATACAGCGCAGTGCCATCCGCACACGAGGCTTGCCTGCGCATTCGCAAAAGATATCGCATGCCATGCGCATGGCGCAAGGAGCACATGAATGGAAACCCGTCCCACGTGCTGCAGGGTCACGGGCACAAAGACACGCCGACGCACAGGGACACAACGAACACGCACACAGACACGCAGCTGATTTGGTCCTTCGTAAGTCGTAAGCGACCTGGCGACTAGTGACTTTGTGGCCACTTCTGCGGGGCTGGATCATGGTTGGCAGTTTTCAGACTCTGGTTGTTCTGGAGTGTCGGCAAGTCAGACATCGACTGGACGCTTCATTGATCCCCGGCCTTCCAGCCAGGTGGTGGCACAGTGGGAGCCTCAGAAGAGTTGGGCTGGGCCAACATGATACTAGAATCAGGTGGGCTGGCGTTGTTGCTTGCTGTGGGTGTTTTATTTTTTTGCCAGGTCTAGGAGCCTGCTGATTTGGATTGATTTGGTGCCGGCTTGCTTCGTTGTAGGCTTCTTTGTTACAAGGTTGGGGCAGTTGGAAATACATAGCGGCAATGTAGCTGTGACTGACTTTGCCCGCTTCCAAGACTTGAGGAGCTTTTGAGCAGAGCGATCCACCTCAACGCACTGATCATTCCTGCCGCGGGCATTCTGGCTCTGTGAATCTTGCTTCAGACGCTGAAAAGTGCACATGCGCTCAATTTGGGGCGAGTAGCCCGCACACAAGCACAAGGGGTGAGGGCATGTCCGCTTGCTCCAAGTTCCCTCATCCAACATGTCCTGGCAAGCGCAATTGCCACAGCTCTGAAAGGCCTAAAGTGCCGCGGCCAGCTTGCAGGAGCTGAACAACGGGGGATCAAGGAGAAGCCACTTTAGAAGCCTGGCTTAGTTGGTTGAATGTATGCAAACAGTGACCACAAGAACCCCAGCCATTGGCTCAGCTGACTGGCTCTGTTGGTTTGTCTTGAACACGCTTTCCCCGCTTCCCGGTTTTCAGGAACCCACCGAGCCCTCCACAGCAGCTCGCTAAGCCCATGGCCCCGTGCTGCCTGAGACTGCGCGATCTTCTTTCCGCGCTACGCCTCCTTCTGAGCCTTTGAAATGGCACAAAGGGCCGAAACGAAACGAAGCGAGCCCACTTTTTCCGCGGAGATGGGGAAAGCCCTGAGCCCGGGTGGCGTCATACCGCCATCCTGGCCCTCTTGGAAGGCTTCAGAAGGGGGAAGAAATGTTGATTCGCCCGCCCAGACCCTTAAGCCTAAGGGGCCTGAGGGGGTTGGGAGCAACACTTCCAGACGAAGGGTCGGGGTTTTCTGATGGCTCGGCATATCGCACTTGCCTATAGGCTCTTGTTCGATACGTTTATTCTATGGTGTGGTTGATAATTACTTGCCCCATCTTGCAAGGTTTGAAGTTGTGTGGGATTTCTGCTTTGAAGTGCTTGTGATTTCCACGCGTGATACCGAGCTTTGCTTGCATGCTGTGAGACTGACGGTGGCTGGACCGTGAGAGCGATGAATGATGCAACTGCCAAGACTGCTTAGGAAGCGGCGCTGCCAAGTGGAATTGCTGGATGACGGGGCCCTCAGCTCGTTGTAGCCAGCTTGGGTTCGCTCAGAATCTGGGAGTTATTCGGATTTACTCTTTGGCCAAGTCGCAATTCTTGCCATTTCCTACCCTCCCCACAAACCTTAGTGGTTGCCAGCCATCCACTCAGGTTTCTAGGTGTCTAGGGTTTAGTGGTAGTTTCCACTAAACCAGTAACAGTGAAACTTTTAGCAGGGGATCTGGGAGCAGCCAAGTTAACATGGCACTTGACAGAGGTTCCCTCAGAGAAATTTGTTTTTTCTAGGCCCCCTCCGACTGTCATTTTGGTGGGAGGAAGTGCAGCCCTTGGTTCTCTGCGGTTTTTAGCCTATTGGAACCACACGTGTAGACTCAGTGCAGGTGATGTGTCCATGGGCCTCAGGCAAATGAAGCGATGGCGGTCGAATACATCGATAGGATTCGATAGGGTTATTGAAGCGGTACCATTCATTGAGCCAAACTTTTATAAGCAAGCTGTCGGTCACGGCTTCGACTCTTCGTTGCATAGTTTCATCAGAGAAGTCCTCATTTCTGCCATGTGTTTTTCAACCCTGCTCCAAAAAAGTCTGCTTCCCCAAGGCCAAGGGGGGGGGGAAGGGGGACTGGCGAATGCGCGCGAATGCGCGCGCGCGCAATGTGGTTGTGAATGCAACTCCGGATCGAGGCGGTGGTTCTGGGCCGTGACAAGTGGCTGGGGGGCGAGCTGGGCTGCGACGGGTGCGTCTACGGCATCCCAGGCGAAGAGTTTGGACGTTCGGACCATCGACCCATATGGAAGCGCTAGGGGCAGGGTGGTCCACGAAGGCATTCAAGGGAACCCCTTGGAATGTTAGGGAAGTTTGAAGGAGCGCGCGGGCTCTCCACCACCCACCCCCCCTTTGTAGCTTGGGGATTCCATTTCTGTTTTTATCGACCTGAAAAAAGGTGATCAGCTTTTGGGTGTGGCTCAAATGTACCAAGCTGGTCAAAAACTAGACGACGAGTGGCCCGGAAGCATAGAGGCAAGTTGATGCAGGTGAGGTAACTCTCGCAAAGTTAGCATGAGGAGTTGGCAGGCGAAGCAATTCTCAAAAAGTTGGCATGAGAAGCTGGCAGGTTAAGTAACTCTCGAATAGTTGGCTGGCAAAGTTGGCGGGTGAAGTAATTCTCGCAAAGTTGACATGAGAAGTTGGCAGGCGAAGTAACTCAAGAGAAAAGTTGGCATGAGAAGTTGGCAGGTGAAATAACTCTCAAAGAGTTGGCATGAGAAGTTGGCAGGTGAAGTAACTCTCGAAAAGTTGGCGTGAGAAGCTGGCAGGTGAAGTAATTCTCGAAAAGTTGGCACGAGAAGATGGCGCGTGAAGTAACTCTCGAAAAGTTGGCGTGAGAAGCCGGCAGGTGAAGTAACTTTCGAAAAGTTAGCATGAGAAGTTGGCAGGCGAAGTAATTCTCGAAAAGTTGGCGCGAGAAGTTGGCAGGCGAAGTAACTCTCGAAAAGTTGGCAGGCGATGTTGGCAGGTGAAGTACCTCTCGAAAAGTTGGCATGAGAAGCTGGCAGGTGAAGTAATTTTGCGAAAAGTTGCCACGAGAGGTTGGCAGATAAAGTATTTCTCGAAAAGTTGGCATGAGAAGTTGGCAGGTGAAGTAATTCTCGAAAAGTTGGCAGGTGAAGTTGCCACGAGAGGTTGGCAGGTAAAGTATTTCTCGAAAAGTTGGCATGAGAAGTTGGCAGGTAAAGTAATTCTCGAAAAGTTGGCATGAGAAGCTCGCAGGTGTAGTAACTCTCGAAAAGTTGGCATGATAAGCTCGCAGGTGAAGTAACTCCTCGAAAAGTTGGCACGAGAAGTTGGCAGGTGAAGTAACTCTCGAAAAGGTGGCATGAGAAGCTGGCAGGTGAAGTAATTCTCGAAGTTTCGGCATGAGAAACTGGCAGGTGAAGTAATTAACCCTCAAAAAGCTGGAGCGGCGGAGGCGCTCCGCGTGCTACATTTGCAATTTACAGTTGCGATTTTCCAGCCATTTGTATCTAAAAGTTGCGATTTTCCAGCCGGAGCTGCGGGAGCACGCTCCGCGTACTACGTCTGTACTTAAAAAGTGCGATTTTCCAGCCGGAGCTGCAGCAGCCTCCGCGTACTACGTCTGTACTTAAAAGTTGCGATTTTCCAGCCGGAGCTGCAGGAGCACGCTCCGCGTACTACGTTTGTACTTAAAAGCTGCGATTTTCAAGCCGGAGCTGCCGCGGACCAGGGGGGAATCGAACCCGGGACCGCGGGATTGCGAAAGCAGGCGCGCACACCACGAGACAACTTCCAAAAGCCGTTTCGCGAGCAAGAAAATCGCACGGCGCCACAGCGAGAGCGCTTCGACACGCACGATCTCCGCAGAGGGTTCATCGGGCTCAAGACAGATGCGCACGGCGCCACAGCGAGAGCGATCCGACACGCACGATCCCCGCAGAGGGTTCATCGGGCTCAAGACAAATTCGCACGGCGCCACAGCGAGAGCGCTTCGACACGCAGGATCTCCGCAGAGGGTTCGCCAAGGTCAAGACAAATTCGCACGGCGCCACAGCGAGAGCGCTTCGACACGCACGATCTCCGCAGAGGGTTCGCCAAGGTCAAGACAAATTCGCACGGCGCCACAGCGAGAGCGCTTCGACACGCACGATCTCCGCAGAGGGTTCGCCGAGGTCAAGACAAATTCGCACGGCGCCACAGCGAGAGCGCTTCGACACGCACGATCTCCGCAGAGGGTTCGCCGGGGTCAAGACAAATTCGCACGGCGCCACAGCGAGAGCGCTTCGACACGCACGATCCCGCAGAGGGTTCGCCGGCTCAAGACAAATTCGCACGGCGCCACAGCGAGAGCGCTTCGACACGCACGATCTCCGCAGAGGGGTGCGTTTCGTAAGCTCCCGTCGGGCCTACCCCCGCCATAAAAAGAAGAAGAATTAAGAGTCGAGATGTGAAGGTAGAACAGAAAAGTTAGCTTGTGTTTTTAGGATAGTGAAGTAACACCCGACAAATTAGCTTGTGCTTTTAGTAGAATGAGATAACAGCCGAAAAGTTGACATGAGAAGTTGGCAGGTGAAGTAACTCTCAAAAAGTTGACATGAGAAGTAGGCAGGTGAAGTAACTCTCGACAAGTTGGCATGAGAAGTTGGCAGGTGAAGTAACTCTCGACAAGTTGGCATGAGAAGTTGGCAGGTGAAGTAACTCTCGACAAGTTGGCATGAGAAGTTGGCAGGTGAAGTTGGCAGCCGCTTTTAGAAGAAGAACCCTTCGCAATGCTTCCGGGAACAAGCACCAAGGTCACCAAAGGCTAAACCTGCGGATTGTTTCCCAGCGAGAAGTTTGCGCCTCCGGCGGAGATGAAATTGGCGGAGGGTTTTCGACTCCAGGCAGCGCGTCCCGGGTGCTCAAGGTGGACGGAAGTCGAGTGGAGCTGATCGGCCCCGAGCTGGCGGGGAAGTTCAAGTGGCCCGAGCCTCGGGGCGTCAGCGGGTCTCGGGTCTCGGAGTCTCGGAGTCTGGCCTGAAGGAAGCTGTGGATTGAAATGGACGGAAGGAACCCCAACAAAAAGTCCCCCCAGGCAACTTCCTCTATTTTTTTCGGTTGGAAGTTGAAGTGGCATTGGCAGGTAGTTGTTGAGTGGTACTTTCGCACCTTTTTGTTTGGCACTCTTTTCTTCTTGGTGGGCTCCTGCAATCCCCTCCAGACATGATCAACCCCAAGAAGGAGCCGCTGCGCTCGCTTCTCAGCCGCCGGAAGGTGTACCAAAGCTACTTTTCCAGCTGGCGTTTGTTCTTCTTGCAAGCCTACATGAGTATGGGTCAAAATTAAATCACCAGGAATTGGACCGCAGGCTTTAATCCATGTTTTCAATTATATACCAGGGTTCCATTTTGGGTTCCTACTTCTGACAACCACAGCCACATGTCATTTGGGAGCTGCTCCCAGCGACGAAGGCTCCGCGGCATCGAGCTCAAAGGCATCATCTATGGTTGCTGGGCAGAATGGGCGGTGGTTTTGACTCAACATTAGGGATGCCTCCCGAAAATTGTGGTCTTCCTTTGGCTTCCGTTTGAACCAACCCCAAAACCGGGTAGCCTCCAAAACACACGCCCATGTTGCGAGGTTCCTGAGGTTCCTAACCTTGTCAGCTGCTGTTTTGCTATTCATGGTAGTGGCACATGCCGTCTGAAATGATTTACATGTACTTGTGAAGCCCCTCAGGAGAGAGGAGGAGAAAAAAAGCAACAACGGCCCTCCAAAACCCTTTGTCCAACAATCAAAGGTTTTGGGAAGACCAACTCAAGGAAGAGGGTGCTGTTGGGCCTTGGCACACTATCCTTAGTTCTTTGTCACTGGAAAGATGAAAGCGGGTGGCGCCAGAAAGCATCCCATCCCCCCGGCGCCCTCGCTTGCGCCATCCAGGCGCGTTCGCGCGCGATTTTTCGAGCCGAGGCGTGCCCACCAATGCGGAGCAGGTGCTGCAGATTGAGCCCGGCACGGGGCGGGTGCAGCTTATAGGGCCCGTCTTCAAGGGCGATTGGAGCCTCGGAACTGGGTGTGGCTCAAAATTAAACAGGAGGGGTTACGCAGGTTTTGGTCCATGTTTCCACTTACCAGGGTTCCATTTTGGTACCGGTTTTTTGAGCCACAGCCACAAATCTCCCCCCCCCCTCTCATGGAATTGGGGGCTAGGTGAGGGCCAGATTGCTGTCTTCGTGCATGTAAGCAGGGGATGGACCAGCTTGGCACAGGACCAAAGCTTAGGTGCCTCTATCTGCCATGTTTGTCAGCTAGAGGGTAGGTTGGTAAAAAAACCAAGCCCAGACTCAGCTAGGACCTAGGAGTTTTGTTTGTTTGCTGATGCAGTTGATGTGTTGCGACCATCTCTCGCATCAAACAACATGTGTTTGTCATTTTTAGATACTGGAAGGCTTAAATTGGGGAAGCCAAGGGTGATTGCACAAAAGCTTACCTTTGATAATCGGGCGGTCCAGCCTATTTGAAAGGCTTGGCATACACACACATATATATATATATATAATACGGCATATATGTATATATGTCGTCAACACGTGACCGTCCATGTTTTTGTTAGTCTGATGCAGGGGTTTGCTGCGCACAGACGCATGCATCATAGTTGTCTTTTTAATATGCTCAGGAAGTGGCACGGCGGAGTTCTGGCGGCGGACGGGTGCATCTATGCGACCAGACAGAACGGGCTGACTGGGGTACAAAAACCACAAGGGGCACACTCTCAGTTGGGGGGTGGGTAGGTGGCGGGGTGGCGGGGTGGCGGGGTGGCTGGGTGGCTGGGTGGCTGGGTGGCTGGGTGGCTGGGTGGCTGGGTGGCTGGGTGGCTGGGTGGGTGGGTGTGGGGTGGGGTGGGGTGGCGTGGGGTGGGCTGAAACCGAAAAGGCCGACACGTCAAGCGCGGATGGCTTGGCATCTCAGTGCGTCTCGGTGAGGCCATCCCTTGCAACGCCCAGTCCGTGCTGAAGATCTCGCCCGGCCAAGTCGGGACCATTTGCGACAACTCCCCGGTGCTGCGGGGCCGGGCGGGGGCCCTGGCCGGTTGCATGTTGGGTGGGGTTTGGTTGCAGCAGAATGCATCTTGTCTTGCCTTTCCTTGGTGGCTCCCAGCCATCCGGTTCCTTAGCTTGTTGGCCTTTTAGTGTTTAGTGGTAGTTTCCATTTAACCCACTAAAGGAAAACTTTTAGCGGGGGATCTGAGGGCAGCCCAGTTTCTAGGACCTCCGACTCTCACTTTTTGCAAGGCCTTTATGAATGCAAGCCAGCTGTGGTGCTCTGAGTATTGAATTGTGTCTAGAGGCTAGGCTGCGCCCAATGCTTAAATTTCAGATTAGATTTACAATGCACTGCAGACATTTGCTGCCGAGGTTATGGCAATTCAGCAAATAGGCACTCTTGTGGGTCGCCATGTGCTCAGATTCAAGCGACTTCCAGAAACATGTCCAAAAGCTCCCAGTGGGTGTGTCTTTTTAGGGCACCCCCCCAAAAAAAACCATAAGCACAACAACATGTGGTTTCTTTTAGTTCCCTTCCAAGCCACGCAAGGGGGGTACCCTCAAAAACAGGAGCCATACCCAGTGAATCCAACTCCCAGTGGGCATCTCTCCCGCCTTGCGATACCTTTTCTTTTTTCTGCCTCCGCGGCCAGTGCAAGTGGTACGGCGGCCTATTGGGCTGCGACGGCTGCATCTATGGCATCCCCAACTGCGCAGAGTCCGTGCTGAAGATCGACCCGCAGACTCAGGCGAGCGCAAGGGGGGGTTCTGAGCAGGACCGGTGGTGGTTCTAGGTGCCCCAGGATCGTGCCCTTTCTCACCCCTTTTCTGGTTGGGAGGGTTTTTCTACCAAAATAGACTACAGGAAAACGTTGGTGCCCTTCTTCCAACCTCTCGACTGGAGGACCTAGAAGGGAGAAAAAGCCACCAAAGCGCTTAGGAGGTGATGACCATCGGCCCCAAGTTCACGCAGGGCGGGCAGCTGCTCGGCTCTTTGAGCCCGGTTTGCGGATGAAAAGTGGCCTGGGCGGGTGGCAAGTCACGGTGGCTGCAGGGCAGGTGTGCTGGTTGAGTCTCGTTGGATCCAAGCAGCAGATTGATCTGGGAGCCAAGCATTGGCCATTGGGTCGCACAGAGCTAAGGAAGTGGCATGGCGGCGTCGTGGGCAAGGAACCGGGCGACGGTCCGGTTTGCGATGTGGGCTGTGGGTAGGGTTCTGCTTAGATGCGCTTGGAGTTAAGGCTCCGCTGTCTTGGAGCCTTGGCTGTGGTGGGTGACCCCAGTCTTCACCAGGTGTTCGCACTTGACTGCCCACCGAGGGCTACCTAGTGGAACGTCCTGACCTCACCTATGCAGGGCATATTCAACTTTTCTCTTCGTCGGTTGCGGAGACTTGTTTGTCTCGGCTGTGGGAGCCCGCAACATGGTTGGATTCCTTTTGGTTTCCCATTATTCACCCACCCAGAAAGGGTCCCTCCAAAAAAGATCAGCCATGTGCAGTCATTCGCCAAATCCAGTGGTTTGAGCCGACGGCGGCACAGCAGATGTGCTGCAGGATGGCTGCATTTACGGCGTGCCTTCTCACGCAGAGGTGCCTTTGCCGAGTTGCCGGACCGCCCAGTTGGGCGAAAACATGTCAAACAACCAGAGCCTGGCCCTGACAGAAGCTTGTTTGGACAAGGTCGTTCTTTTAGCAAGTTGTCCCGAGCCTGGCGACCATAGCGGCCAAGCTAGACATTGACATTTGCGGTGCCAGAGCCATGGACAACGCTTTGCAGCGAAGCCTAGGCGGTCCTGAAGATCGACCCCCGCACCGCTACCGTATCCACCATTGGAAAGCCAATTGAGAGTGGCGCCTCGCTAGCAAGGGGCTATTGCTTCGGACAGGGGGAATGGTTTCACACAAAGCAGCTGTGCATAGTGCATATCCTGCGTTTAGTGACTCTGCAATCCGGGCGTTGCCCGCAAGTGAGGCCACCTTGCCCGAAAACTCCATGTCCGATTGTTCTCCAGGAGAAACGGGTGAAGGATGCCGTGCTGAAAAACTGGTTGCAAGGCATTTGGACGCGGAAGCAGGTTGTCTTTTTTTGGGGACCTGGTGGTTCTCCTTTGGTTTGCCTCTAAAACCACCAAAAAAAAGGGTAGAAGCTCCCAAAAAGGACGGCTGCCCTCCGCGATTTCGGGCCTGGCCATGTTGGGCCTAGGGGTGTGGCGCCCCAACGGCAAGTACAAGTATGGCGGTGGTGTGGTGGCCGGGGACGGCACCATCTACTGCCTTCCCAGCGACGTGCCGCGGCAGCAGCCAGGGGGGGACTTTTCGGCGGTTGGCTTCTCGGTGGCGAAGCCAGCCATCCGGGTCCTTAGCTTGTGAGCCTTTGAGTGTTTCGTTTCCATTTAACCCACTAGAAGCGGAACTTCTAGCGGGGGAGCTGAGGGCAGCCCACGTTTGTGAAATGCCGGCAAGGGCAAGGCACCGATTCGCCGTTATTCAGGAACCTGGCAACAGCGAGAGTCTCTTGGCAAACACTTCGGCTATAAGTTGCGGGTGATCCTCTTCTGGCTAAAACGCTGGGGCCCAATACCCATCGAACATGTTCTTTCGCCCCCTACTTCTTGCAACTCCCAAATCAGGGGGAACGATCTTTACGCTTCGCTTGGCGACTGGCCCCCTTTTGCCGGTGTGCATTTTGAGGCGGTCCCGTATGGTCCCCCTGCACTCGCTGGGCAGGCAGTACAACGGCAGGTGAAGATTGCAGCGTTGCAACCTCTCTTTTTTGTTTTTGAGAGGGGGGGGCCTTTTGTGGGTTGGTTTGAAGGGACAGAAACAACAATGGTCGGGGTCCCCTATCTTGACACATACCCATATTTTTCCTACAACTTGCCGTGGCGTTTGTGTTTGGACGCTCTGGCCGATGCCAACCAATTTTTTTAAGCGAATGCCGCCCCCGAAGGCTGATGCAAAAGGCAGTGGTCTGTCACGTGGAGCTCGCAACTCGCGTTTTCGCATCGCAATGGAGGCCCCTCTTCAAGACTCGGCATTGTGCCATCCACAATGCTGGTTTCCCCTTTGGTTTCCATTTAAAACCACCACACATGAACTCATTGGCTCATGTCGGCTTGTTCGACTGCAAAGGCCGACTTTGTCCTCAAGGTTGTGCCGGAGACAGAAGAGGTGACGACCATTGGGCCACGGTTCGAAGGCCACAACAAGTGTCCCAGCATCACATCCATCTATTTTGTTGTGTGTTTCCTTTCCTTTGTGTGTGTGTGTGTTTTTCCCCAAACAGTTTACTGTGAGGGGTTCTAAATTCATTTAAGGTGGCTCGCCTGTTGCCAAGCCCTAGCCTGGATGCCTGGCACAGCTCTCTGGGTGGACGGGTTCATTTGTCTCCCTGTGTCTTCCTTCATTTGTCTCCCGTTGTCTCCCCGCCTGGATGCCTGGCACGGCTCTCTGGGTGGACGCGTTCGTTTGTCTCCCTGGGTTCACTTGTCTCCCTTTGTCTCCCTTCATTTGTCTCCCGTTGTCTCCCAGCCTGGATGATCCAGTCTGGGTGGACGGGTTCATTTGTCTCCCTTTGTCATTTGTCTCCCGTTGTCTCCCAGCCTGGATGCCTGGCACGGCTCTCTGGGTGGACGGGTTCATTTGTCTCCCTTTGTCTCCCTTCATTTGTCTCCCAGCCTGGATGCCTGGCGCGGCTCGGGTTCATTTGTCTCCCTTTGTCTCCCTTCATTTGTCTCCCGTTGTCTCCCAGCCTGGATGCCTGGGTGGACAGATTCACTTGTCTCCCTTTGTCTCCCTTCATTTGTCGCCCGTTGTCTCCCAGCCTGGATCTGGCACGGCTCTCTGGGTGGACGGGTTCATGTGTCTCCCTTTGTCCCCTTCATTTGTCTCCCGTTCTCTCCCAGCCTGGATGCCTGGCACGGCTCTCTGGGTGGACGGGTTCATTTGTCTCCCTTTGTCTCCCTTGATTTCTCCCGTTGTCTCCCAGCCTGGATGCCTGGCACGGCTCTCTGGGTGGACGGGTTCATTTGTCTCCCTTTGTCTCCCTTCATTTGTCTCCCGTTGTCTCCCAGCCTGGATGCCTGGCGCGGCTCTCTGGGTGGACGGGTTCATTTGTCTACCTTTGTCTCCCAGGATGTCTGGCACCCCTTTGTTTCCCTTCATTTGTCTCCCGTTGTCTCCCAGCCTGGATGCCTGGCACTGTTTTTTTGGTGGACAGATTCACTTTTCTCCCTTTGTCTCCCTTCATTTGGCTCCTGTTGTCTCCCAGCCTGGATGTCTGTCACGGCTCTCCAGGCGGACGGATTCACTTGTCTCCCTTGGTTCCCCTTCATTTGTCTCCCATCTCTGTGGGTGGACGGATTCATTTGTTTCCCTTTGTCTCCCTTTATTTGTCTCCCGTTGTCTCCCAGCCTGGATGCCTGGCACGGCTCTCTGGGTGGACGGATTCATTTGTCTCCCGTTGTCTCCCAGCCTGGATGTGTGGCACTCACGCTCCGCGGTTTCCTTCACTTCCCGCGGTTCTGTCCTTTTGGCGGGGTCTGGTTTGCCTTCGGCTTTGGCCCTGGCTTCGGTCATTCCTTGTCTTGTGGATGTTGGGGACAGGGTCCTCCTCTGTCTGCCCTTCATCTGGACTTCGATTTCGCTTGGGCTCGTGGTGGGTCGTCTTCCTTGTCTATCGTTGGCTACACCCTGTCTGTTCGTTCAGTGCCTCGTTATCAGTTGCGGTCCCGAGCTGACGATAGCGGTGCGCTGCGGTGCGCGGCTTACGAGAAGGCTCTGTTAACCCCCCGGTGAAACAAACGTGAATCACGCTGGAGTTAAATCCTCTATCGATTCTTCGAGGATGTTCAACGAACCTTACGCTGAGATACCCAGTGGTGCTCTTGGCACCTGGGGTTGTCCCGGCTCTCCCGGCGGACGGGTTCATTTGTCTCCCTCTCCCTCCATTTGCCTGACGGATTCATTTGTCTCCCTTTGTCTCCCTTTATTTGGCCCCGGTTGTCTCCCAGCCTGGACGCCTGTCACGGCTCTCTGGGGTGGAGGGGTTCATTTGTCTCCCTTTGTCTCCCTTCATTTGTCTCCCGTTGTCTCCCAGCCTGGATGCCTGGCACGGCTCTCTGGGTGGACGGGTTCATTTGTCACCCTTTGTCTCCCTTCATTTGTCTCCCGTTGCCTCCCAGCCTGGATGCCTGGCACGGCTCTCTGGGTGGACGGGTTCATTTGTCTCCCTTTGTCTCCCTTCATTTGTCTGGCACGGCTCTCTGGGCTTTGTTTCCCTTCATTTGTCTCCCGTTGTCTCCCAGCCTGGATGTCTGGCACGGCTCTCCAGGCGGACAGATTCACTTGTCTCCCTTTGTCTCCCTTCATTTGTCCCCGTTGTCTCCCAGCCTGGATGCCTGGCACGGCTCTTTGGGTGGACAGTTTCACTTGTCTCCCTTTGTCTCCCTTCATTTGGCTCCCGTTGTCTCCCAGCCTGGATGTCTGTCACGGCTCTCCAGGCGGACGGATTCACTTGTCTCCCTTGGTTCCCCTTCATTTGTCTCCCATCTCTGTGGGTGGACGGATTGATTTGTCTCCCTTTGTCTCCCTTTATTTGTCTCCCGTTGTCTCCCAGCCTGGATGCCTCTCTGGGTGGACGGATTCATTTGTCTCCCTTTGTCTCCCTTTGTTTGTCTCCCGTTGTCTCCCAGCCTGGATGCCCCTCTGGGTGGACGGATTCATTTGTCTCCCGTTGTCTCCCAGCCTGGATGTGTGGCACTCACGCTCCGCGGTTTCCTTCACTTCCCGCGGTTCTGTCCTTTTGGCGGGGTCTGGTTTGCCTTCGGCTTCGGCCCTGGCTTCGGTCATTCCTTGTCTTGTGGATGTTGGGGACAGGGTCCTCTGTCTGCCCTTCATCTGGACTTCGATTTTGCTTGGGCTCGTGGTGGGTCGTCTTCCTTGTCTATCGTTGGCTACACCCTGTCTGTTCGTTCAGTGCCTCGTTATCAGTTGCGGCCTCTCTCTGTCCTTGCTCGCATTTGGAGTCCCGAGCTGACGAGAGCGGTGCGCTGCGGTGCACGGCTTCAGCTACGAGAAGGCTCTGTTAACCCCCCGGTGAAACAAACGTGAATCACGCTGGAGTTAAATCGGCCGAGATACCCAGTGGTGCTCTTGGCGCCTGGGGTTGTCCCGGCTCTCCCGGCGGACGGGTTCCTCTCCCTTCATTTGCCTGACAGATTCATTTGTCTCCCTTTGTCTCCCTTTATTTGGCCCCGGTTGTCTCCCAGCCTGGATGCCTGTCACGGCTCTCTGGGTGGACGGATTCGTTTGTCTCCCAGCTTGGATGTCTGGCACGGCTCTCCGGGCGGACGGGTTCATTTGTCTCCCTTTGTCTCCTTCTTGTTGTCCCCCAGCCTGGATGCCTGGCACGGCTCCCTGGTCATTCGCGGTGTATTCCGCGGGCACGCATGTGTGTTTGAGGCTCAGAAACGTGTGTTTGAGCGCGCGCGTGCGCTTGATCAAGCCACAGGCAGCATGCTGCGGATGCACGTACGAGTGCTTCAAGTAAATGATTGTGTGTTCTTGGTGTGTTCCAGCTGACCACATCGGCGCGTTCCAAGTGAACACGCACTTTTTGCATGTGACCACATGAGTGTGTTCCACGTCAGCACATGTTTGTGTTCCAGGTGAAAGCATGCGATTGTTCTGATAAAACACATATGCGATCCGGTCAAAATTCCTAGTAAGGGGGTTTAGTCTACAGAGGCCACCGTCGCAGTCACTTTGTGCAGTTTTTCATTCACACAAAGCGGAGTCCTGCAAATACCAATGGATTGCCCGCTCCCCACTGGAGGCGCTAGGATGGCGCTTGGTTTGCGCTAGGGTCTTCGGTGATCTTGGTTTCCAAGAGTTGGCGCGTGGGTTGCCGCGATGGGCTTTGCGTGGCTTTCAAGGGTGTAATGTTGCAGTTCTTACTTAGTACTTGAAGCCAGCCCGCACGTTTACCTTCATCTTACGTGGCCTTAATTTGTCAAATCCACACAGATGGTCGCCGTGACTCCAAAAAATACGGCGAACCCGCGCTAGCCGCGCGCTAGCAAGGCGCTAGCGCAGTGGTCAGCTGTGACCGGTTCCCAGTTACGCTTCAATCCAAATTTGCTTCCGCTCTCCTCGCATGCAATTATCATGGAGTGCGATTTGCTGGACAAAGGGGAGAAACAACGGCTGAGGCAAGACGGCAGGGATGCCTTGTACCGAGCATACGGAAGAATTGGGTTGCGTATTTCCCTGCGAAAGCAAATGCTTTACTGAATCGATACGAAGAGTTGCCACAATACGATCAAAGCACTTTAGCAATCGATACGAAAGACACTGTGCAGCTAAGCGAGAAAGAAGCGCAATGCGCCGGAAAGCTTTTGCTAAGCTGAAGCCTGTAACTGCTGGAGACGCATCCGATACTGATAGTACTAGCAGTAGTAGCAGCAGCAGCAGCAGCAGGCTCGCGCGCTAGCAATGTGTTGCAAAAAAGCTAGATTGATCGTACACGAACACTATTTTCCTACTTGGAACACGCATATAAAACACAAGCGTTGTTCAAGGCAGAGCCCCATGGAATAGCGCCTCACAGCCGGCTTCGGGAACTTGATTTATGTGTCGCCCAGGCGTGCAGGAAATGTAAATTCCATGTGAACACATTTTTGTTGTCCAGGTGAACGCATGTGTGTTGCACATTTGTGTTGCACATGTTTCTCCACATGTGCACACACGTGTGTTCCATGTGTACACATATGTGTGTTACAAGTCAACACAGAAGTTTGTTCTGCTTAAACATGCTTGTGTGATCCAGGTCTGCACCAGTGTCGCACGTGAACACAAATGCCTGTTCCAAGTGAGCGCATATATGGGTTCCAGGTGAACACATATGTGTGTTGCAGGTGAACAGAAATGTGCTTTCCAGACATACACACATATGTGTTCCAGGTGTACGCATGTGTGTGTGTGCGTGTTCCGGGCGCGCATATATATATATATGTGTGTGTGTGTGTATGTTCCTGTGTGCACATATGTGTGTTCCACATGTACACATATGTGCGTTCACGTGCGCACATATGCGTGTTGCACGTGTACACATATGTGTGTTCACATGTACACACATGTGTATTCTTATCAGACACGTGTATGTGTTCCAGGAGAACACATGTTTGTTATCAGATGAACACGTGCGTGT